AAGTGCAGTTCTCAATCTGCCTAATCCCGCGCGGCTGTAACGCCGATCGATCCGATGGGAAGATGGGCGAGTGAACGGGAGAACGATCGATCCAATTCTCTTCAGAGATTTAACAGATGAGACCAGGGGGGCAGGGAGTGTGTGAGTGTGTGTAGGAGTGTGTATGAGTGAGTGTGTGTTTTTGTGTGTGTGATGGGTAGGGTTAGGTGTTGGGTTGGTGTGTGTGTGTGTGTGTGTGAGAGTGGAGGAACACACAAGGACAGTAAATCAAACACAATCTACAGGAACATCCAGTGCATTCGATGCTGTGCCGGCGCTCAAACCAGTCGTGTGAGAAACAGGAAGTGAAGAGGAGCTCGTGTTCGAGTTCCTGTGAAGATCCGGCATGATGCTGGAAATCCAGCTCAACATATCCCGCAACACCGAATCTACGCGTGTGTGTGTGTGTTCTGGATCTCGGCTCTCACCCCAGTCGGCTCTGTCCGCAGAGGAGTGTGTTTCTGACGGGCCCTCCATGTCTTCACTGTTAGCCAGGAAATCAAAGCCCTTCAGAACTTCATCTGTGTCCAAATCATCACTCATGTCTGCGGAGGAAGAGGAGGGCGACGGAGAAACCTTCCTCCTCACCATCTATCCCAGAGACACGAGATCACTTCAGAACAGCAGACAGTAAAACACAACTTCAACATTTATGAGGAGAATACGGAGATCCGTCTCATACTAGCAGCAGACACACCCATGCCTGTCCGAGAGAGGGAGGAGCCAACCAATCATTGATGCGCGCACACACACACACACACACACACACACACACACACACACACACACACTCATAAACACACAGAAATCTAAATTGTTCATAGCATTCTGAAATGTTGATTAATTATTCTACTTACTTTTTTATTATTATTAATAAATTAATTTATCTTTTTATTTATCTATTTATTTTTATGTATATATATATGTATATAAATGTATGATTGGATTTCAATTTTCAATAAATTTAAACAATTGTCATGCCAATAAAGTACATTTAAAGATTACAATTGAAGATTAAAATTTTTTAATGCTATGTTTATTTTCATGTAAAATTTTTATTTTATTCATTATCTTTTTTATAGTTTGTGTGTGTGTGTGTGTTATTAGTCCTTTGGCAATGTAAAGATTTCTTTCACCATGCCAGAGAGAGAGAGAGAGACGTGTGACTGACGGCAGCTGGTGTGTGTGTGTGTGTGTGTGTGTCAGTTTCTGCATGTTCTCCGCGAGTGTCGTGTTCTCGGAGTGTGTGTGAGCATCAGTAACTCACGGTGGCGATGTCCACGATGGTCTTGTTCTGTCCCTCACTATCATCATCCTCATCTTCATCGCTGAACTCTGCCGCCGCTTTCTCGATGAACTTGAAGGCTTCCAGAACCGTGGCCGAGTCCGACATCTCGGGTTTACTGCGGTTCCGACACACACACACACACACACACACACACATAAGCACGACATTAGAGTGGAAACAGTGCAGGGTTCTCACGTTCTCCAACTAATTCTTCACGTCAGCGCTTCACACAACACACAGTTTCGGTTTCTTACCACGGATATACTGTACAGTTTTCATCCGATCTATTTTATAAATTGAAGTACTGTATAAATTGTGGCCAATAGTAATAATTGTACAAAATCATCAAAGTTCATGGATTGAATTTAAGAAAAAAAATGGCAGACATCATTCCTGTGCATCCTGTGTCAATATTAAATGAGCTAGGAGTGAGGTGGGGGTCATTTATCTTCAACAAATAAATCCATGAATGAGTAGAGCTGACGGGCTGATGTCCCTTCAGTGAGTGATATTATCAACACATTAATTAGTGAAGAACTCCAGCTAATATTAGGTGCTGATGTGTTGTGTGGTCAGTGCTCAGACCCGTGACCCCACTGACCCAGTGTGACCTCACTGACCCCTGCTGACCCCACTGACCCGATCATGCTGGTTTGGTCCCTCAGCTCGCTCGGCTCGGTGCCGTTCACCATGGGCTCGGGCCGCTGGTCTCCGGGTCGCTCTCCACTGTCTCCGGCCAATCCCAGCAGAGCTTTGACCCGCTGAGACTTCACATCCAGGATCGTGTCGGTGTAGCCCACCTCCTGCAGGTACCTGAGGAACACACACACGTTATCAGACCAGACACCCGACGAACACACACACACACACACACAGCTGCATGAACTTCAGCTCCAGAGTCGCTGTGTGAGCATGTAACCGCTTCACTATCAAAGACACTCAAAGGTCTCCATGGCAACCCATTGAAATAAAAGTTATGGAAATATGGGAAACTTGACAGAAATATATTACAGTTGTACAGTAGATTCCAGAAGCGTCTCAATGTAATAATAACACTAATAAATGATCATCCAAACGTTTGAGGAATAATCCCATCTATCTATCTATCTATCTATCTATCTATCTATCTATCTATCTATCTATCTATCTATCTATCTATCTATCTATCTATCTATCTATCTATCTATCTATCTATCTATCTATCTGTCTATCTGTCTGTCTGTCTGTCTGTCTGTCTGTCTGTCTGTCTGTCTGTCTGTCTGTCTGTCTGTTTCCCTTCTATCAGTGCCTAGAGCCGGCCTGTCAGACACGCAGCACATTAATTATTAATCATTAATAATCAGACCGGACACACACCAGACACTCATGATTTCAGCTGCACGAGGGACATAGAGAACATTAAAACATTAAAGCTGTCAGGAACATTTCAACCTAAAACAATAAAAAACTAGAAATGATCAAATATGCTAACTTTATTAAGCATAAACAGGACGAGCAAATGTCTTGATAAACAATCCCCGAGCAGATCAGACGCGGTTTATCGTCGTTCCACACGCGGTTCAAATCAAAACAGCGTCTGTCTGTGTGTGTGTGTGTGTGTGTGTGTCACATACCTGCCGTCACAGTCCTGCGCTAATGCTAATGCTAATGCTCCTGTGGTTTGGTGTCTCGAGGGAAACGTTTGACTGGATTAATCTTTAGCAGCAGTTTAAGAAGAACGCAAGAGAGAGAGAGAGCGAGTGTGTGTGTGTGTGTGTGTGTGTGTGTGTGTGTCTCCTGCTGTACCAGTCTCTCTCCAGGCACAGGAAACTGAACCAGACAAACAATCCAGCATTCATTCAGCCTTACTGTCACTGACACACACACACACACACACTCACATGTTCACGCACAAACATGCTCACAGACAGTCACTCACACACACACTCACTCTCACACACACACACACACACACACACACTCACTCACATGTGTTCACTCTGTCTCTGTCTGTATGAGGATTACACTGAATTCATGACGTTATTCTCTCATCGAGGGTCGATCAGTTCACACACACACACACACACACACACACACACACACACACGTCTGATCCTCCAACACATCCACATGTGTCGAGAGTGTGTTTCTCTCTGAATGGTCCAGTTAAGCGTTATGTTCTCCGCTCAGCACGAGCCGCCGCTCTCCGCGCGCGCAGGTTTGACATGTACGTGTGTATTAATAGCGGAGTGCGGAGGAGTGGAGAACAGAGCGTTCGTGGGACGCGTCACACACTCATGCTCACTGCTTATAAGGGTTTACATTAATACAGAGCGATAGATATCAATATACACACACAGAAACAAGAAAATCAAGATGGAAATCATACTTCTTTTGTCCCCTCTCAATAATTTAGCTTTTATTGAAGAACACAGTTCCTGAAACTTCTGGAATCAAAAAATCACTTCATTTAATATATATTATATTATATACTGTATTGTATATCTAATATTGTATATAGATATTATCATAATTTTATATAAATATATAATAAAAATTGGAACAACTAATCACGATAATATTTGTATTATTATTATTTATATAGTATCTATTTTATTAATCATTTGAATCAACTTTTATTTTTATATTTAAGTTTTAATTTCCATTAGTTTTTTATTTATTTCCATTTTTCATTTTATTAAATATTTCATAAATCATCCAAACATTAAATATTGAACAGTTTTAGTTAACAATAGCAAGTCATAATCGTGCATCATAATTTTTGAATTATCAGTGCATTTGCATATATTAATTTCTGTAATAAAAAGAAAATGAATGAATTAATTAAATACATCAATTTATACTCCATTTTAGTATTATTTAAATTAGCTTTTATTTTTATACTTTCAGTTTTAATTTTAGTTTTTAAATGTAAACATGTGTATATGGTTTTGTTTTTTTAAATATTTAATTCAATTTTAATTTATTTGTATTTCTTTTTTATACTTTTGTATTTTTTGTTTTATTAATATTTCTATTTAGCTTATATATATATTCATTTCAGTAGAAGAAAATTTTAGCACTTAATTTTTCATCCAAACAAATTATAAATATATATTTTTATTTCAGGTTTATTTCAATGGTTGAAAACTATTTTGAGTAGTTTTAGTTACCAGTAAAATAACAACACTGGTCATAACTACAGCAGAAATATGGCATGAAGGTGTCTTGAATATTGGGGACTGTCTGTATTTCTATATTCATATTTCTGAATGCATCTGTGCACATTAAATCCCACAATTGGTGAAAACTATTTTAAATAGTCAACAGAAATAACTGTAAACACTGGTCATAATTACAGCATAAATATTTAAAAAATCTGTGTGTGCATGGAAAGTGTCTTTGCATATTTCTATATTTCTGCATGTATGCGTCACATGACTCACTGTCTGAGCAGCTGGCGACCCTGTTTCCAGCTCAGCTGGCTATTGGCCGGTTCAGGAAGAGCCTCGTTCTCGGTGCCGTCATCTAAAGGTCAAAGGTCAGACACAGGACGACACATGCCTGTCAATCACAGTATTTCTGCACAAGAGCCACTGAAACTTCCAGTCTGACCACATTACACACTGGAAACTCTGCTGTCTTGCTTCCAGTCCACATATCGAAACATTCTCAAGTAAAGATGCATTTACTAGAGGAGTAAAATACCATGAGATATTATATCTTGTTTTCTGGGTAAATAAATCACAATTATCTGCCAATCAGGTTAATCCAAACAGAATTAAGATTATTTTTCTTACCCGGCTGGCAGATCATTTCGCTTTTTTAAGCAACAGCTCACTTAATTGTGATTTACTTACCCAGATATCTTAATTTTACTCATCTTGATTTAAGTATCTTTAGATATTTGGACTGGAAACAAGACAGAAACACTGAGTAAGTAGAGCAGTTTGTTCATTAAAGACATGATCCGGTCTCGGACTGGGGTCAGTGGAGGAGTGTAGAGGAGTGTTCACCGGAGTCGTAGCTGGGAGGCTTCATGTCGCCCTGGTTGAGTTCGGTCCCGTACTTCAGCTTGTGGTACTTCGCCCTGAGGAGGAGAGGAACACAACGCATGTTCACAGCTTCCCATCATGCATTAGTTATTAATAAAGCTCACTTCAAAACAACTCAGGGTCGACCAAAGTGCAGTACAGATCATTATCCTCAAATAACAGATTATAATCTATAAAACTACAAACACAAAACTAAGTAATTCATTGAAAACCAACATAAATAATAATAATAATACTAAATAAACCTGTAAATTTTAGTGTGTGTAAGAGGAGATTTCTGGCTCAATGTTGGAGGAAAAACTCATTTTAGGAAAACAGCCTTTAAAGATATACAGACACAAATAGATAAAGTGCTCTAAAAGATGCAGTTAAAAGTGTAGTTTGGCTGTTTTGATGTCATGTCAGAAAACACACTTTATGAAAAGCCAAAAAGCACAAAATCTCAAAAATCATGAAAAACACTGTCATTGCCTGTAGTGTCTGGCCTTAACAACATATATTTTAAGCTTTGATTTAAAAATGGATAGTGATGATGTCGAGCTTCTGTTGCCACGGTGACACTCGCTCGCATCACGCTGTTGCCACGGTGACACGGGTGTGGAGGATTCTATAAATTCCTGGTGAACGTGAGAAGTCCTTCCTCCAGGATCGGATCAGGCGAGGGAATAGCTGGAATACCATGGTAAACGAGACTGAACTCTAGTAACCCTCAGACAGCAAGCGCTCACATTCCTAAAACTAATTAACGGGCTTTCAGCAGAGGCATTAATAATTAATTAAAAAAAGGCCAGGTGTGTTCTTCCTCAGCGCATAATTAACATCTTTCTGTTATAATCTTGTGCATTAACTTCACGAGAGTATTTGCATTCCGCGTGTAAACGCATAGAAACTGTCCAGACCGAGTGTTAAACATGCATGCATGCGCATTAACCAATATTTACTCATTTTGAAAACTTATTATCTAATTAATTACATGATGTGTTGATTATTTAATCGATTTAATTGTAATTTAAAGACAGTATTGTGTTAGATGACAAAAGCATTGAAAAGACGTTAAAAAAGAAATATTTTGTTTCATCATGTAAATTTTAAGGCTACAACTGTGGCCATCATTGTTTTCCAGAAGCTGCATCTGAAGTGGCATTCGGTGTATTCACACACACAGATTAATGCAGATCAGAGGTGGAATACATATAATAAAAAAAAGGTAATGATACTCAAAATAAGAAGCTAAAACCGCCAGTAGGTGGCAGCAGGTCACATGATGAATATCTCCACTCACTCACTCACTCAGAGATCCACTGGTTGACGATCACACGTTGATCTGATTGGTTACAAGGTGGTTTGTGATGTCAGAAACACCAGCGATTTCAAAGCGTGTTTTTGAGACTGTCTTTGGTTCACTGCAGGAAATACTCAGTCCACTTATCAACTTGGTGTGTGTTAAAGCAGTGTGAAAAATAATAGTTACTCGCTGCCTTGATTTAAAAGGTTAAAATGTCTAAAAACAGCATATCTAATATGACACCACAGGTAGTTTTGATTGAACGAGCTTCATCCAGTGACGCACATCACATGAACTCAATATTAATGAGACGCTGCCTGGTAACAGTAGACGACAAACTCCCGTTAGACTGCGCCATACGAACATGACATGACAAATCTCATCGTATCAGTTCATGAGACGCTACACGCAGCGAGTTATGAAGCCATATGACGACTGAGAAATTAAACTATTGAAGCAGAAATGGTGTAGGCGTGCGCGTCACTCTTTAAAGCTCTATTCGAGTGCTGCAGTAGAAGCTGTTCAGAGGTTTCCCTGCATTTGAATGACAGAGAACATGTATAATTTGAGCAGAGTGTGACTCATCATGAGCCCAGAGAGAGAGAGAGAGAGATTATAAGAAGTACCGAGCCTCGCTCTCTGCAATCAGGCTACATGATGTTAGCACAGACACGGCGTAAGTAATGTTTGGATGATTAAAATCAAACCAAGCGTGGGGATATAATGCGGGATAGAGTGTTTTCCACTGACCTCTCCTGTTTCAGAGCGTACTCCAGCATCTTTATCCGTCGCACCAGGTCCTTCTTCAGGTTCTCCTGGCCTTTCCTCTCGCCCTGCAGGAAAGCGATCTGAGCCTGCAACAAACACAGTTTAAACATTACTCCATATGACAACTCAGAAATGGTCCAGATCAAGTCAAATTCAAGACACAATCTCAAAATAAACCATGCGTCTCCAAACATTCAATCCACAACTGTGGAACTGCAAGTTTAAATGTTTTATTCAATATACACATATGTATTAAAAATTAGGTTTGTGTCCATCGAGGTTGATCGATATTGGATTTTGCTGGTCAATGTGTTGAAGTCCTCATGTGGTGAAAATCCAGCTTGTAATATTGTACATGTGTCTATGTGGTGTTTTTAATATGCTTTAAGACACACACCATGTGGATCGTGTGGCTCATAGTGGAGGCGGGGCTCATTTACATATTCATAGAACCACGTATACTAAATGAGGCGAGGGTGTCGAGTTACAGTCAAGATATTTTAAGCTATGAAGATTTTATTTTTTATTTTTAAATGTCATTTTGGTGATCAAAGACGAGTTTTAAGGGATAAAATGATGGACTTTAAATAATGTTCTTAATCTTTCCCTTCTGTGACGGACAGTTGATTATAAACAAGCCAGAACTACAGCAGGACTTATCAGCGGCTCACTGAAGATGAGATCAGACATGCTCTCGCTCATATAGAGATGGTGAAATACATCCATGTAAACCGACCCCTTTATATGAACAGATTTAATTCATATGTAAATAAAAGCTTAAATTAAATCTCATCAACACTTGCTATACCATGTAAGACTTTTTATTGCCTTAAATCTGATCATTTGTAGGTTATAATTGCACATGTGCAGTGTGAAATAGACTGATTTGGCGATAAACCAAACGCTGAGTTTCTCCCCGTGTGACCGAACGCATCAGCTGACCCTTTCCTTCGGTTACTGTGTGCTTTCCTGGAATGTCTGGAATTCTTCCCCGTCTCTGAATGCCATCTTTAGTGAGTTACTCATAATGCAGGAAGAGAATGATCTGGTCATCACAGACACTGAGATACACAATCAGACTAACATTATGAACACAGAGTCTGCATGCGTCAGGCGTGAGGAGCGTTGCATGTCAGTACTGCACTGATTCGGCTGCACCTGAGAAGCTGACGCTGACAGCAAAACCAAGCGAGCAGCGCATTTCATAAACGAACACCTCAGTATGGGTAATAAATGACGAGGCATGAACTCGGCCCATGTAAACACACACAGAGGGGTTGTGGGATCACGTGAGCTCAAACACACACAACGGTGGGAACCAAGGCCGAAGCAGAGCCAGTGGCCGTGTCTTGCGTAACACAGATATGTGGATGAAGATGTGGAAAACATGTCAGTGCTCAAGAGCTGAGACTATCCATCAGCGTTTATCCTTTAATGTTGAAAGATGAGCGACTCTAGAAGTGCCGTCATGTAGAAGCAACAGGACATTTGATGAGTTTATGCAGCTGAAACATCTTCTAGTCATTGATTAGCATATTCTGTCATGATCATCTATAAACCGTGTTCGGGGGGCGGGGCTTATGGAAACGTTAGTGTTTGTGATGTGTCTGACGAGTGTCACACTCCATCATCCACGAGTTTCCTGCAAGAACGGCCAATCGGAAGCAGAACTGGGTCATGGAGAGCCGTGGGGAGTGATGGGAGAGCTCCTGGTGTGTGCTAATCATGGAGTGACCCGTTAAAACAGCATTTGCATTTCCTTCAAGTGTGTTTAATGACCTCGATCATCTCCAGGCTCTCCGGGATTCTGCTCAGAGGAGGTTTGACTCGTCTCGTAGCCTTTAGCTCCACACAGCTAACCTCGCTCACGAGGGAGAGAGAGAGAGATTCAGGAATAGTTCAGTGACGTCAGGACGGCCCACTCGCTCCCCCAGAGGCGTCTCTCGACATGCCTGTCCAACAGCAGGACCCACGGGACCCGAGACACTGCACTGCTTCCAGTCCACATATCTAAACAATCCTAAATCAAGATTTACTAGCGGAGTAAAATGCCTTGAGATATGATGTCTTGTTTTCTAGGGAAATAAATCTAAATTAAGTGAGATGTTGCTTAAAAACAGCAAAATTATCCACCAATGGGGTAAGAAGAAATAACGTGAGCTGGAGCCCGCCGACGGCCGAGACACTCACACTTCAGTCAAGTCAGCTTTATTTCTACAGCACTGAGTGTTTCCGCTCTACAGGAGTGTGTGTGTCTCAGTCCAGCGCCCGTCAGTTCAGTGATGCTTCATTTCTGCTGTTCAGTAACTAATTTAGTCATTAATTTATTCCCAGTGAAACTGTACTGTTGCTGATGTCATGATCACTCCTGAAGAGACCGAAGGTTGATCTGACGGCCGACTGTAAAAAAAGATGGACGACGCCCCTTCGCTCTTTTCCATCAGAGAACTGAAGCCGCCAGGGTCTCGATATGCCGCTGACATCTTGAACTTGAGTCTGCGCACTTGTGTGTTTCGGGACCAGTCATGCGCAGGAAGTAAAGCCGCGAAATCAAGGCCGCGCCCTCATTCGCGCTGAATCAAACGCAAGCACACGCCCCGCACTTTCATTAAGTGTCCTCTGTCTGCTTCGTTCTTCTCCAATGATGTCCGCCGATTACAGAACCTCGTTAAAATAAGGTAAATACAACTACTAACCACATAATCATCAACATTATTAAAAAAAAGTCCGCTGGTGCTTCAGTGACTACCTCGCACAGAGCACCTGTCAATCATGATGTCATAGCACTGTTTTTATCATCACATAACTAACTAAAAACAAACTTATTTTAAAAACAAACACTTGAAATTACATCAACGTGATAGAAACTACAGTAAATGACAGAAACTATCTTTGGAAACAGGATATGTGAAGTGTAATTGAATTGTTTAGTTGGTCTCACGTCCCGTTGAATATCATGGGGAGGCGGGGGTTATGAGCTATACTAGGACCGGCCACAGGGGGGCGATCGAGACGTTTTGGCTTCACTTTTGAGGGCTTGTGCGGCACGCTTGGTTCTTCCTCATTTACATGTATTTACATCACATGTTGAATGGCTCCTCCCCCTTCTTAAACAGCCAAGAGAAGCGGATCCGAGCGCTGATGATGCGCTGGATTCAATAGTAATCTCGGGGGCCGGTGTGTGTGTTGGCGCTCCCGAGGGCCGGTGTGTGTGTTGTGTGTCAGGAACGAGTGGGAGGATTAACACCGTGTCGTTCTTCCTGTGAACACGGCGAACACACACAGCAACTAAACGCTTCACCAACGCCTGAACCATCGTTTTGCCATTCAACACCGTCAGCGCTGTGGTTTAGCAGTGCCCTGCCCACACACACACACACACACACACACACACACACACACACACACGCTCCCTGAGATAAAGCATGAGCTATTTTAATGCTAACAGAATGCTCTGATATGGAGATGAGTGCTGGTTTCCTCGAGAGGCGAAGCTGGAAAGAGATTACAGGAGTTCACACTCTATGGATCAATATAACGGAAATGATGTCACATGGGACACACACTCTGCTCTCGATACATGGGACACACACACACACACACACACTGCCTCCAGCTATCCCAGCTCATGATCAGACACTGATGGCTCAGACTGGAATCTGACCAGTTTCTCCATTGGATTAAAAAAATAACTTATGCACTGATGTTTACAATCACATTCATCTAACGAACATGCTTAATTCACGTTTCATGTCTCAAACTGCCATTTGGAAACACTTTATATTAAGATTCCATTAGTTAACAGTAGTTTCTGTCTGATCTAACTGAGTTTTGTACAGAATACACGCAAACGAATCTGTGATTCTGAGATTAGTCGAGCAGAAGCAGCAAAGCACAAGATTATTATTGATGTTTATTGGATGGGAGGCGCTACAAACTGTCCATTCATAAACTGCAAACAGCACAGACAAAAGATCAATTCTTGGATTTAAGAATCAATCAAGAAATTAGTATTAGCCTTAGTATTAATACACATTATTTTACAACACGAATTCAAGCTGCATAAAATTAGAAATGTCCTGTTGCTTCTACATGTCGGCACTTCTAGAGTCGCTCATCTTTGACTCCGCTTTCAACATTAAAGGATAAACGCTTTGGAAACGTTCAGGACACACTAGCTCTCGAAGCTCCGCCCCCTGTGGCGGGAGCAGCAGCTCATTTGCATTTAAAGGGACACGCACAAAAACGGCGAGTTGTTGCTCACCCTCAAAAAGTGACAATTTTAACATGTTATATAAATATCTGTGGGGTATTTGAGCTGAAACTACACACACACACACTCTGGGACATCAGACTTATTTCCCGTCTTCTGAAAGGATGCTTTAACTAGCGTGAGATGGTAACTTGTGAACATGCGCCCTGATCAACGCTCCTGTTCCTCATCTGACCGTGACCTGTCGGGGAAGATGCGGGGCGTTCACCTGACACAACAGGCAGGTGTGCATACCTTCCCTTACAAGGGCAGACTTGCCTTTATGGGCCACACACACACACACACACACACACACACACACAAGGGTGGCGTTACTAGAGCATGTTGGGGCCTAAAGCTGCTGTACTGGTTCTTCCTTACAGAACACACACTTTTCCAAACGACTGCTTTTCTAAGGAGGAAAAAGAAAACAGTCACGGGGTCTCAAGCATTTCCAGCTGAGAGTTAGGCTAATTGGTTATTAGCTGGAAATCAAAGTGCATGAATGTCAGGAATTAGCCGAAGATTAGTACTTTCCTTGAGCTGTTTAATAGGAAATAAGTGCATTAGTGATTGATTCAGTTCATGAGTCAAACAGCTTATGTCAAACCCAAAGAGAAGCCAAACGTCACACACACACACACACACACACACACACACACGGCGGACGCGAGGAAACCTGAGAGCGCAGAATCCAAGTGTTCATTAGCAGGTCTCAGATCACACACACACACACACACTGACAGATGGCCACGCATTCACACACTCCGACGCGCACAGGCAGAAACAAACCAGAGGGAAACCCGGGCCTGGATCAATTATTCACTTCTGTGA